ATAGAGTCATAAAAACACTGTCCGGATCTCCAAATTATCATGTATATACTTGAGTAATCGACTAAATGAGTACAAGCAAACAATAACAAAAGATTAAAACGCGCCATTGGATAGTAATATATAAAATTAAAACTAGTTGTGTACGAAGACATGCAACAAAATGGAAAATGAGGTACATTTGACTTAGGAAGTAAATTTGTTACAGAATTGTGTATTTTAACTCTCTGCGTAGAAGGATATTATAAATTTCGAATATTCTACTATCGCCTATTATACAAAGTTTATTTGACTTCAAGTATTTATTACAACACCACTATTTATTTACTTCATGGGAGTGGGGTTGGTTTCGACAGCGATAACAACAACAACATTATTGGGGCGACGTGCAGAACATCTGCCCAGCATGTGGCACAGGCCCACATGATACGCTGCACTTATTTCGCTGCCCAGCCAAGCCTACTCACCTAACTCCAGTCTCGTTATGGACACAACCCATACAGGTTGCATCCTTTTTGAGACTGGACTTAGAGGCAGAACCTGATTGAACTGAGTCAGAAAATGGATACCGAACGAACACAGATGTATGAGCTGCTACAACAACAACAACAACATTATTGGGATGTGATGATGGTGAGATATGATGAGGTGAAGGTGATCCGCGCGTGTGGTGTGAGAAGAAAGAATATAATATATAATTCAACTATATATAAGAATATATATAGTAGTTAAAATATGGTGGATCGTATCGAACTTACACATTCCACCCCACTTTCTAGGACCAGGAGTCTAGCAATTAATAACAATTTATACACAGTTTGGCCTTTCTCACAAGCAAGAATTTGTCCTCAAAACGAATGTTATTGAACTGGGGACAGAGGCGAAGAACATTACTCTGGTTAAGTCAAATGTGGCAAATAGTATTTGATAGTACATTAGTTGATCGAGAAGAAGGAAGATCATATTTTGGGTCATGAACCAGCGAATTTTAAGGTGTGAAAGTAGATATGGCTCCAAATTCAGACGAAAATGTCTTAATTAAGTACGGTGAACGATTTTTGGCAACAACAATTTTTTTACAGAATTGGAAAGAGTAATATTCTTTGTAGGCGAATTTCTACGTGTATGGTATATACATTGCAAAATTTTAATTCTTTCTTAGGAAAGCATCTAAATCTGGCCAGGAAGCAACAACGACTTAGTTTTGATGCTTTGCTCCCCCAAAATCAATGTTAACGTTGGTAACCGCTGCAAACAAATGTACACAACAATGGGATCCCAGTGATAATGACGTCATAGACGGCCATGGCAGAAAGACCGCTGGATAACTTTCAAACCTTCACAAATTTCTTTTTCTAAAAGAGGGATATTGAACGTGCTTTTGATATGGCTATTTACTAGGATGCGCTTATTAACGTAGGCATCCGCCAAATCTTTCCACGCTAAATGGAAACTACGATTTGTAAATCAAATTTCGTTGGCCTCACCCTTTCATGAAAACACGAAAGGTGGGCCCAGTGAGAAAATCTCCAGCAAAGACTTCAAAAGCAAGCCTGAAAGTGGTGTAAGTTGATTTAATTTTGTTATTTTTCTTTCTATAAATCTAAAAGTTTCATTTGATTTGCAGAAGGTTACATTTCGGTTGCGAAAGCCTTCATTTCCGCTGCAAAAGGTTTCATTTCCACTGCAAAAGGTTTCATCTCCACTGCAAAAGGTTTTATTTCCACTGCATAAATGTTTCATTTCCGCTGCAAAAGTTTCATTTCAATTGCAAAAGGTTTCATTCAATAAATGCTTTTCATACAATGGTGGGTTTATAAAAATAATTCGATATTAAAGTTTAAAAGGACAAACTATACGTTGACCAATGCAACAACATAAATAGAATGAAAATAATTAAATAATTCGTCGTATATTGTATGGATTGTTCGTGGTATGGCGTCTACACACACATATGGCTCACTTCGCGGTGTCTATAAGGGCCCAAATGTTTGCAAGGTTCCTAATGGTCTGGGATTTCTATTGACCCCGAATGTTTAAAAGGTCCCTAATAGCCTAAGGTCTTTAATGGCCTGTGATCGCAAATGACCCCGAATGCTTGGATTGTAAGCATTTTCATTTGAAACGATTGGAAAAACATGATTACAAAATGTAAAAGGTTTTGCTCACTATTTCCTTATTCCAATATTGTCAATTTCTATTCGTTGAAAAAATAGTTGTTTCAGGAGAGGCGGAAAATGTTCAAGTAAAAAGCTCTATTTAAAATGATTAAACTACCAGCATTTCGTTTAAAAGCGCATAACCGTTTAAATCGGTCTACTCCTAATTGCTACATCCTACATTTCAACGAACATTTGGCAAATTATTTGACATTCCGTCAACTTTTAGGCATCTTAATGCCAACATAAACAAACAAAATACAATTATGTTTGGATCGGCACCAGGAACGCTTTACTTAAAAATTTTAACCCGTACTTTATTGTAAGTCAAAGTACATATAGTTGTACCAATTAATTTACCATCAATAAATAAACGGTAATTGGCCTAACCTTTATTAAAACTATCGTGTTTTACTTTTTTCTGCTAACTTCCAACTGATACTATTGATATGTTCGTGTTTTATCGTTTGCACCTGAGGTTTGCCATAGAGTTATTGTGTGGATTAGTTTTAAAACTACTTTTATGTGCACACAAAAGCAAAACAAACAAAACCCTGCAACAAGGAAAAAATACCTCGGACCAAACCTAATAATTTCTTATATAATTCTTATTGACATATAAAACGTTGTAGTACCAAATTATTTTATATATTACTCTCGGTTAAAATATGCCATCATATATCCATCTGTCTGTTCCTGGACTGCAAGAATATACAAGTTTTTACTACAATAACCGATTTTTTTATTTATATAATTTTTCAAATTTTTAATTTTAGGAATATCAAATTCAAACGGGGTTTGACAATGTATTTGTGTCAGTTGATATTCAAACATTTTTATAGCGATGTCCGTCTGCCTGTTGTAATCACGTTATCTTTCGCACGAATTGAGATAGAAGGCTAAAATTTTGCATACATGCATAGTTAACCAGTAGGCAGGTTAAGTTCGAGGACCATGTCGGTCCACGTTTTCGTATAGCCCCGGTATTTTCATGATTTTCGCGACGTTATTTCACGAAATTATTTTAAATTTCGTATTTGAAATTCGTAATTGGTTCTACAGCCTATGACAAAAATTTTTGTATGCAGGTCCAAGTCTTCGTATAGCCCCCATATAACGGTACCTCCCGATATTCGGTATTTTGATGATTTCAGCAACACTATTCACCACAATCGTTTCCAATTTCGTATTGAAGGATCTTAATGGGTATTACAGCCAACATTTACAACATTTTTGTATGCAGGTCCACATCTTCGTATAGCCTTAATATGACTGTACCTCCCGATACTCCGCATTTTCATGATTTTTGCGACATTATTCACCGTAATTCTAACAAATTTTGTGTTTGAAGTTCGTAATGGCCACTACAGCCTATGAAAAAAAATTCGTATGCAGGTCCACGTCTTCGTATAGTCCCCATATAACGGTTTTCATGTAAGTGGTAGTTTTTGGATTTTTTTTGAAATTTTTCAATTTCCTTTACTTGTTCTTTTTAAAGGCGAGTAATATTTACACATAGTTGTAGTTGACAAGCTCATGTACTGTGCGAGAGTTGCTTTTCAATTATTGAAGTAAGACCACAAGATTGCCAAGCATTGCCCTTAAACTCTTCTTGCTTCCAAGTGGATAGTCATTTATTTGATATATAATTGTGGAAATGACAGTCATAACGCGTTTTATTAAAACATGCTCGTTATAAATAATTTCTGTGGAAGAAACTGAAACAACCGATACCCCCTAATGGAACACGATATCGTATTGTATCGAACGACTTCCATTAAATAATCAATAAGTAAAAATAAACTTTCTAAAAATTAATCGAAGTATGTTCAATAGTTTTGTTATGTCTTAAGCTAGTATACACAAAATGTTACAATTCTACGTATAGCTACTTTTTCTAAATTTCTGTCAACCATTTTTTTTAAATACTTTAGGGCGCTTCAAATGATTAGTTTTCTGAAGGGTAACGCTCTATATCGTAATAAATATTAATATATTCATTGAGATATGTTTATGGTTCCCATATTTTACACGCGATTTGGCATTTGAATTTAAATTTCCAAGTCGTCTTGTTTTTCATTTTGAATGAAAAAGTTAAAGAGTGGCCAATGGAAAAAAGCGGTCTTTACAATTCGGTTCAAATGATATTCCACATGCTACTTGTTACTGTAGAATTCCTCGGTAGCCATTTGGAACCTTAACAATTGTCCGTTCCATTTTTCACTATAGAAAAAAATATTGTCAAATATTGGTTTCTTTTAAAACCAATTTGAATTTATTTCAACGTAATTGTCATATCGGTATCTACCAAAACAAAAATATCAACTCGCCTTTGCCATAATGTCATTTGCCTTCTCCCAGAACCTTCAAGGATCCTCTAGTTTTGGAATTTTTTCGATAACATTCCTTTATGTTATGTCAGTCATCATAATAAAAATGTTATGTACATGCCACAAATTTGAAGCTAAAATATAAGACAGTATCGTTTTATCCCAAAATTGTATAATTTGTTGCCCATTAACGTCGAACATGTGAGTTTCTTGTGCAATTAAAACAAAAATTATTTTATTTGTTATTCAAAACAATACCCATAGGTATACAAACTGCATACATGTTATGACAGAATAGAGTCACCAACAGAAAAAATTGTATCAGAGGAGGTAGCTTTGTTATACCTTTTGTAATTGCGCCACGAGAGCAATTGAATTGATTAGATACAATAAAATGGTTGCTAGTTGAACAACTAAAACAAACTTTTTATCGAGTACTTATATACTCGGTGTGGATCATTAGAAAATAAAGGGTAACTATTTTCTGCAAAATATACATTGCTGCATACTACCATATTATACAACGTTGCATAGGGACGCTGGTAGGAATAAATGAAACGATTTCACATCACGGCAAAAACAAGAGGTTTGTCGCGAAATATAATTTGCGCTTAATTAAAAGTGTAAAAGTGATTACAGGAAGGATATTAGAAGCGATCTATTCCCTATTTGGATAAATCGTCGATTTCAATTTTATAAATTGTGTAGAAAGTCGTACGAAAATATTTTGTATATTCGCCGTCGATGCGATACTGTTCGGTTTTGTTCATTTCGCATATATTTTGAAGTAGATAGAAGAAGCATACAGACGGTAGGTATATGTCTGGAGTACATGTCATATATTTGTATCTTTGAAAAATAGTACAATATACATATTTTATTCCTTGATATTTTGAGGGTAAACTCATCCATACTTGTAGGATCCTCGATGACTACAAAGTAGAAAATTGTGATAAATGTTAACGTAGTCAAACTGACGTTTGTTTGTACTTGTGTGTGCAGTGTGTGTGAACCTGAAAATGGAGGTTACCAATGCTGCCACTAACGTCATTTTGGCGAAACTGAAATAAATAGTGTACAACAACAATAACATTTTTTCATAAGCACGGCCGGTAAATAATAATGAAGATTTTAACTTTTGGTTGTTTTTACTTTTTCCTTTGTAGAAAAAAGGCGGCAGAAATCACTGAGTGAATATTATTTATTAGAAGGACATACATTTAAGCACGTGCCCCTCTGTATTCGGAAAAAAGCAGTTTGAACAAAATTATCGCCGACAACTTAAGACGCAGACGAGAACGTTGCTTTTATTACAAAGTAATGGCAATGCTTTCTACAGATGAAGCCAGCAAGCTGCTGGACTTTTCTCAAAAACTGGATATAAATCTCCTTGATCGTATAGTCGAGTGTTTGTATACCTCCCAAGGCGAGCAGCTTCGCATAGCTCAAGATATCCTCACTACTTTGAAAGAACACCCTGATGCTTGGACACGTGTTGATAGCATTTTGGAATTTTCACAGAATCAACAAACAAAGTTCTATGCTTTGCAAATTTTGGAAGAAGTCATAAAGACACGCTGGAAAATTTTACCTCGTAACCAATGTGAGGGTATAAAGAAGTATGTCGTTGGTTTAATAATAAAAACTTCATCTGACCCTGCTACAATGGAGGCTAATAAGGTCTATCTAAATAAGCTTAATATTATCTTGGTCCAAATTCTAAAGCGTGAGTGGCCACGTAACTGGGAAACATTCATAAGTGATATAGTGGGTGCTTCGAAGACCAACGAATCGCTGTGCAAGAACAATATGGTCATTCTAAAGAATTTAAGCGAGGAAGTTTTCGATTTTTCTTCCGGCCAAATAACTCAAACTAAAGCAAAACACCTCAAGGATACAATGTGTTCCGAATTTGCCCAAATATTTCAACTATGCTCTTTCGTCCTTGAAAGTTCAATGAATGCACCGTTGATTCAAGTAACGCTGGAAACACTTTTGCGTTTTCTAAACTGGATTCCTCTCGGATATATCTTTGAAACTTCCCTGATAGAGACATTAATATTCAAGTTCCTCAGTGTGCCAATGTTCCGCAATGTAACATTGAAGTGTCTGTCGGAAATTGCAGGTCTCACCGTTCCGAATTACAACGAAAATTTCGCTACTCTATTTAGAGATACAATGACACAACTTGATCAAATGATCAATCAGAACACAAACATGAATCATATTTACGCAAATGGCAGCGACAGCGAACAAGAGTTTGTTCAAAATCTAGCAATGTTTTTGTGTACATTCCTTAAAGAGCACGGCAAACTGGTAGAGGACGTAAAATATGTGGATTATTTAAACCAAGCTCTATTGTACTTGGTTATGATATCGGAGGTTGAAGATGTTGAAGTTTTTAAAATATGCCTTGAATATTGGAATAGTCTTGTCGAAGACTTATACACTAGCGAACCCTTTGGAAGTGGTGGTTCAAATGTTCATCTGGGACAATCAGATGTTGTGACATTGGCGAAGCGCAACGCAACATTTCCTCGCCGTAGATTTTATGCTAACGTTTTATCTAAAGTTCGCTACATAATGATATCAAGAATGGCTAAACCCGAAGAAGTCCTCGTTGTAGAGAACGAAAACGGAGAAGTTGTTCGAGAATTTATGAAAGATACTAATGCAATTAATTTATATAAAAATATGCGCGAAACATTAGTATTTTTAACCCACTTGGATTATGCTGACACCGAACGAATTATGACGCTTAAACTTTTAAATCAAGTAAATGGTTCCGAATTTTCCTGGAAAAATTTAAATACATTGTGTTGGGCCATTGGATCAATTTCAGGTAATCCTAACAATTTTACTATTTATTGCACTTTTGATTAAATATGGAAGGGGGAGAAACAAAAAACATTTTTCATTGAACTATCATATTTGGATTTGATCCTCTTGGTGATTATTGTAATTTCGCAAACAGTTGTCTATACAAACTTGGTTATGTCTTTATACACCTTATAATGATATAGTAAATCTCTATTTAATATATTTTTTATCTTATTTCACCTGCATTGGCTAGGAGCTATTAAGCATCCAAAATCAACATAACTCCTTTTTGTTTTGCTCGGAATCATGTTGCATTTATTACAAAATAACAGTAAAACCCAGTTGATTTGACTCTACAGTAATACTAATGTCAAATTCGATATGACGTTTTTGATTTAATTCTTTCATTTTCATTTTCGATATAAATGTTCACTGCAGTACTAAGTGGATAACATTTTCCTAATTATAAAAACATTCTTATAATTTATAAAAGGCCAACGACAATGGTGCGGAAACATTTTAGATAGTTTTTTTGTATTCGTATTTTTCTTGTTTGCTAACATTGCAAAATGAAGTTGGGTTAAATTTTAAAGAAATGCTTTTTTCACTATTTCCTAGCAAAATCTTGACTTGCAATATTGAAAAGGAAGTATATTTTCCTATACGGTGAAAAAGTTTCAGCTGGGGTTTAATGCTAACTTGTAATAGTTGTCCATGGATATAAATAAGGTTTGAATAAATTTTCTAAGCAAATTAAATAGAATATCCAGTACCTATTATATTTTACAAATTGTTATCAAACATCCATTCTAAATATGTACCCATCATAGTAAACACGGATAGACTTTTCACATGATCCAAAACACCATAATTTTTGAGAATGATTTCTTTTGCCTTTGCTTTTTCTTTCTCTTTGTTAATGTTTGATGCATTGTGGTATTTTTTTTTTTTAAATAAAGATAATTTAAAACAAAAAAAAAAGTAAAAATCAATACGAAAGGAAAACTTATTCATTCTACCGAAATTCCATATTTGAAAAAATTTGTTTGTTGTCTCGCATAAAAAAAAAAAACATATTTTCCAGATTTACATTTTGGCATTTATAAATGAGATAATTTTGTGCTTTTTTCAACATCATTTTCACCAACAATCTGTCACTAATCGGAAGTTATCAGAACAATATTTTGATTTAGCACAATAGGGCAGTTAAATTTTATTCTACGCCACGCCGTATGTTAGTCCGAATATTTCATGGAATCCGTTTTTATATTTTGAAGACCCATAATGAATAACCTACGTATCGTACAAAATAATAATAATTTTCGGAATACAAGTGTTCAGTTTTTTTATGGGCCCGGAAATACTCGCGGTATGCATTGTGGCTTTGCTTGTATTGGAAGGTCTGACAAAAGTATTTCTATTAAGGTGGTACAACGGATTTAAGATCAATTATGGTTTTAGCAATATTTGGTAATACATATTGACTTATAGCCTGTTCACCAAACTTATTTTTCTTTCAACTGTAAGGCAAATGGCAGACAAATAGAATTTTTGTTTTCCGTACGTAAATAAATAAAAAGAGCTTTTTCTATAGGCAATTTTTGGTTCAATGCCAAAGTAGGCAATCAAAAAATATCAATCTTTCATTCACAAAATTTGAGCAAAGTAAAATGTTGTGTTTGAAAATTGATATTTCACTCAAAAGGTATGGTCCATTTCATCCGCTGTGCTGTGTCGATCCCTATAGGTGCGATTCTTCACTGGTCTCAACTCTAACCCCACGTAAAATTAGGCGCAAATTGACCTGAAAGACTACAAAATCGGAAAAATCTCTCCTATAGGTATTTATTCCGACCCTAACCCTGACTCAACGTCTAATTTAATGAGGTTTGCGTCATAATTGTGATTACAAATAAAAAAGTGACAGACGGACACACATAGCTAAATCGACCCAGCTCGGAGATATAGGTAGATACATATGTAAAATCGTGGGTCAAGAACGAATTTACGAGGTTTGTGGCATCACCCTAACGTTTGGCAGATTAGGTTAAAATTTCCGTTACCCCCATTTACACTTAATTTCCCCATTGCATTGCAATTATGGGGATTATGACCTTTTTTCGGTGATAATCCCTATAATCCAAATAATAAAGTATGACCGTTTGCTGTGTGGACTACTTGCAAAAATAATTAATTTTAGAAATCTTTGATTCGCGATAGCCGGTGCCAAACATATTCAGAGGGAAAGTCTTTGGACATACCCATTATTATGGGAGTTATGTCCCCTAATTTCCAAAAAATTGCCCAAAAATTGAGATTTTTTCCTGCACCCAAAATTTCATAATCTGTTCCTCTGAGCGTGTCCTGCACCGGCTGCCGCGAATTAAAGATTTCTAAAATTAATTATTCTTAATTATTCTATTGAATTCCTGAAACTTTTTTGATGCTTCCAATCTGAAATGGGATTGGAATAATTTATGTGAAAGATTCCCGGATTTATTATTCATCCATAACTTAAGAGTTCGGTCCAGAAATGGGTTCTAAATTCCCATGATTTTGCTTTTTTTGACAATTTTCACAAAAAATCAAAACTAATTTGTTAACAAAGGACAGATTTGATAAAAGTTTGTGGAACATGAGTGTTTCTCAAGCATTGTTGAAAAATTATATTTTTATAATATTGTTCTCAAGCTGTATTGTATTTTTGGTATGTTGGGAAAGTTCTGTGAACAGGCTATTAGTTTGTATTTTGAGTACTGTTTAATAATATTTAAAAAATATGCGGGGTAATAAATTAAATTATTAATTGGTACTTAAATTGGGAAAATTAGGACCAACTTTTTGAAAATTGTGAAAATTCATGCTTGAAAAGCCAAATAGTATAATATTAATAATCGAATTCAGCTTCATTATTAATAAAACCCTTAACACCATGGGTGTTAACTTCGACTTCCAATAGTCGTTGCTTTTATTTTAAAAAAAACTTTTGCCTTGCTGTGGTGCGACCATCTTCACAGAACGAAGTCACTTTCACCAAAACCATAAACGATACATCACACTGTGCTCAACTGCTAATAATACATGTTACTTACCCCTGCCTGATAGGTTTCTTGATCTAGAGGCTCTCTCTCAAAGCGTTGGATCCTCTCTCTAGATCATAAAACTCAAGCATATACTGCAACGAAAACATTTGATTATGCTGACATACGGAAGGGACCGTCGCCTCATCATGATCCACTGGTGTCAAGAAGAGACACCCTATCGCAGTTCTCAGGGCATCATTCTGACAGGTCTGAATGTTCTTCCACTGCGTAGCACTTATATTCGCAAACCACACTGAAGCAGCATAGCTGACCACTGACCAAACTATTGTGATATATTAATGATGAACAAGGTCTCCTAGCGCCTTGGCTACCTTGTTCCTCCAGCTAGCGCCTTGGCTACCTTGTTCCTACTTTTCATTTTGTCGCAGATAGCTGTGGGTTGCGTGGACGACTTGAAGACACTTTCGAATGTGAATGCTAGGGCCTTGAGGTAGTTCATGGTCGGTATTATATTCCCCTCGACCTGCACATTCGGCTCTGTTCTCGTCTCCGCAGACCATGTGGTAAAGGGTGTGGTCGTTGGGGAACTCCCTGATTCACTCTACGGGGTTTGGATTTCTTGTTCCGGAATTCCACATACGGCTGGCGTCTACACATATAGTTGATTATCCAATGTTTCAAACTTGACCGGAGTTCATTACATCCTCACTCTAAAAAATCTCTTTGACAGGTCATGGGCTATCAAAACTGTTCTATGACACGGCTTGTTTTGGTTTAATCCTCATCTGATATATATGTGTGTAATGCTATTGTGGTTGTTGTTGTTGTTGTAGCAGTAGTGCATGTGTGTGTTTGTGTTCTGCTAATCTGGTTCCAGCTCCAGGTTTAGAAATTCGGCTACTTTAACGGGCTGTAGCCAGAGATCCTCTGGAGTGATTTGGGTAGGTTTGGCTGAGCAATTAAAAAGGTGTAGCGTATTGTGCGGGCCTGTATCGCACGCCGGGCAGGCGTCACGCACATCTTCATCAATTCGTGCCCAATACGAATTGAGGCGACTACACCATCCTGAACGTAATTGCGCCAAAACTACCCTGGTTTGTCTAGGCAGCTGACGTTCTTCGGCTGCAATGGATGGGGGGTGGACTCCGAGGACGGCATTCACTTTATAACTGCTCATAGCATCCGCGACTGCATCGCTGTGAATGCCACTCAGACCTGCCTGATAGGCTTCTTGATCTAGAGGCTCTCTCTTGTAGCGCTGGACCTCCCTCTCTAGATCATGTATGTCCTTCCTGACACGCCTGGGCGGGGGAGAGTTATCCACCATATGATGGTTGGGATGACTCTCACGGTAACACCCAAGCAGGTACTGCAACGAAAGCATATGATTATGCTGACGTAAGGGAAGGACTTTCGCCTCCTCATGTAGATGGTCCACTGGTGTCATGAGGAGGCACCCTGTCGCAGTTCTCAGGGCAGCGTTCTGGCAGGTCTGGATATTCTTCCACTGCGTAGCACTAGTATTCGCAGACCACACTGGAGCCGCATAGTTGACCACAGACCGACCTATCGCGTTATAAGAGGTCAACAAGGTTTCTTTGTCCGCACCCCAAGAGCTGCCGGCTAGCGCCTTGAGGACCTTGTTCCTACTTTTCATCTTGTCGCAGATAGCTGTGGCTTGCGCGGACGACTTGAACATGCTGTCGAACGTTACCCCAAGAATCTTGGGGTAGTTCGTGGTCGGTATTAGATTCCCCTCGACCTGAACATTCAGCTGTGTTCTCATCTCCGCAGACCATGTGGTAAAGAGTGTGGCCGTTGATTTCGTGGCGGATATTTTCATATTCCTCGCGTGGAAGTATGCGGCAAGCTCCGCGAGATAGGGGTTCAACCTTTCGCATATGTCATCGACCACTGGACCCGACGTCATGATCGTACAATCATCCGCATACGTTACGATCTCAATGCCGTCTGGAGG